ATCAGAGTCGGGTTTAGTCGTTCATAGGGCCTGCGAGTTAGAGTCAATAAGTGTCAATGATGTGCATGCCCCTATAGCTTTAAGAGTATTATTTATCTAGAATAGTGATAATGATTCATCTTTTCTTAAATTCTACAAGATATGATCGATGATCCCGCACCAGTCAAGAGGGTCGTAATGAGAATTACATTTCACTTACCAGAGATACTGGGATGAATTCGTTCTAGACTTAAAGGATTTGGGTGTCCCGGATGATGAAAGAGGAGAAGAGGCCACTTTTTCTAAGACCTCATAGCTTCCCTTAGGAACATTGTTGAGGTTATTCCAAGGGAACCCACCGCACCTACCCAACTCGCTCCACCACTCGTAACATCTCAAAAATCATAAGTAAAATGACTCAAGTGCTACAAGACTATGAACTTCTTTGGTTCCGAGGATGATGATCCTATTGTATTCGATTAGTGGCTTCATGAGACCCTCTACACTCTCATAAAGATGTACCTTACCCCGAATGGTAAACTCGAGTGCGTCACCATGCTGCTTAAGGGTGATGCCATTACCTAGTGGTGATAGTCAAGCTAGCTTTAGGGTATGAGAAGACAACTTGAGAGTACTTTATAGAAGAGTTCAAATATAAGTACGTTAGAGAAGCCCACATTGATGATTTGGTGGATTAGTTCACACACCTAATTCAAGGTGATCGGTCTGTGATGAAGTACAATCATGATTTTCTCCGCCTGAGCCGCTATGTGCCTGAGTTGGTAGCGAATGAGAACTTTATCTCATATAAGTTTAGAGAGGGTCTACATATTAATATCCTTACCCACTTGACTATTGATCCCCTAGGATCTTTACAGAGTTGACTTGCTAGGCTAAGGCAATTGAAAAACTACAGTCGATAAGAGCCCACCTGAGGGGTAGTTTAGGAGGTCAAAACAGGATAGCATTGGATTCTATTAGACTGACCCATACTTCAACCAAGAGGGCCAAGGATTCTCGAGAAGTGAGGAGGTCCCCATCATTGTAGTCTCTAAGGACGGGGTAGAGTTCAGGGCACCGTCAGGGGTCGAAGCATCGTAGGAGTATTTTGAGCTTGGACTCAATTGCGAGCACAAAAAGTTCTGGTAGAGGGTACAACCTTCCTTATATGAGCATTGCGGTAAGTGGCATACTAGAGAGTGCCACCAAATTTCACAGACATGCTTCAATTATGGTTCACTAGAGCATTACATTCGAGACTATCTTGAGGCGGAGAGCGCAACACCACCAGTTGCTCAAAGAGAAATTCAGACAATTTAGAGTGGTCGAAGATCAGTCCATAGGGATATCGATTCAATATTAGGTATCAGATTAGGGGTAATGCCAGATTTGTAGATGGATTGGAGACTAAGGTTATCTTGAAGTAATACGTAGTGAAGGCCCAAGAAGAGTATGAGCCAGCAGATGTAATCTCAAGCATCTTTATTGTTTTTGGTACTCCTGTAACTACTTTGATTTATTTGGGTTCTACTTATTCATACATATATTGTAAAATTATCCAAGAGTGAGATATTTCACTCGAAGATGTTGAGATCAAGGTTAAAGTTTAAAGTTCTTTAGGTTATATGTACTTTTCTCTATAGATGTTTGATAAAATTTCAGGGTTAAATCATTTCTGTCGACCTTATGGTATTGCCTTTTCAAGAGTTTGATTTGATCATATGAATGAACTGGTTATCGGTGCATGTCTCGAGTTTAAAATGTAAAGCTAGGTAACTCAAGCTTAGGCTCGAAGATGGTACCAAGATTGTAATGGCTAATGATAGGTTCTTAAGTACATATAGGATCATCTTAGCCTTAGCTGCTTAGAGATTGATTACTCGGGGTTACAAAGTGTTCCTAGCCTATGTGAAAGACATTAGAGTCTTAAGCCCGACACTTAGGGATATCCTTACCATAAGCGACTTTCCTGATGTATTTATAGAGAAATTGTTAGCCTTACCATTGGATCACGAGTTGGAATTTGCAATCGAGGTATTTTCAGGAGCGATCTTGGTGTCTATCGCTTTATATCCCATGGCATCGATCGAGTTAAAAGAGCTTAAGGCCTAGATTCAGGAATTATTAGACCGAGGGTTTATTCATTCAAGTATATCATCGTGGGGAGCATCGATGTTTTTTGTAAAGAAGAAAGATAGGTCAACGAGGTTATGTATCGACCATCGTCAACTGAACAAGTTGACGGTCAAGAATCGATATCCACTTCCAAGGACCGATGTTTTGTTTGACCATATTAGATGAGTTGGGGTATTCTCTAATATATATTTGAGGTTGGGTACTATCAGTTAAAGTTTGAGGAGATCGATGTAGAGAAGATTGCATTTAGAACCAAGTATAGTCACTACGAGTTTCTAGTGATGTCATTTGGACTTGCTAATGCACCAACAACATTTATGGATATAATGAATCTAGTTTTCCACCCTTACTTGGATCAATTTGTAGTGGTTTTCATCGACGACATCCTAGTGTATTCTTAGTCGGAGAATGATCACGATCGCCATCTCTGTATCACCCTTTATACACTTAAGGAACACCAATTGTACGTGAATTTTAGTAAATACTAGTTTTGGTTAACATAAGTGTTCTTATTAGGCCATGTAATAGCTAAAAAGGAATTAGAATGGATTCATAGAAGATTTAGGTTGTGGTTGAGTGAGAACTATCATGAATTGTATCCAAGGTACGTATTTTCCTTGGATTTGCCGGTTATTACTATCGCTTTGTTAAGGGGCTCTCTATGATCGTTGCCCCTATAACTATGTTTCTTTTAAAGGATGTAACCTTTGTTTGGGATGAAAAATGTTAGTAGAGTTTCGAATAAGTTGAAAGAGGTCTTGACTCAGGCACCGCTTTTATTCTAGCCAGAATCCAATAGTGACGATACAATATTTAGCAACGCTTCCTTAAACAAGTTGTGATGCATCCTTATGCAAGAGAGAATGGTAGTGGCTTATGCATCTTGACAACTCCAACCATACGAACGTAACTACCCCACCCATGATTTAGAGCTTGCAGTCGTGGTCTTTGTACTGAAGATTTGGGGACATTACCTCTTCGGAGAGAAACGTTACATCTTCACTGACCATAAAAGCCTTAAATATTTACTTACCTAGAAGGAATCGAACCTAAGACAATGTTGTTGGGTCGAGCTATTAAAGGATTATGAATCGAACTTGAGTTCGAGTTAAAGGATGAAAGTGTGTGGTATTATCAAAACTGATTATGTGTGTCGGCTAATGGGAAATTGAGGGCAAGAATACTTGGTGAGGCCCATTTTAGTTCACGCAGGTTAGTAGATGTCGATTGAAGAGTTTATTATCGGGTTGTGGATTCTAGATTTCAACAAGCTACGGAGTACGTCTATTTTTTCAGTAGGCATGTATCTCATATACCCTTTTTGTATAATTGAGTCATAACTCTTTGATAAACTTAATGTATTTGAAATGTTATTTTAGGAGCTCCCTTTGTAGAACCAAAATGTTTACGTTTTTATTATTATGGATGAAAGTTATGTTTTTGTGAAACACTTTTGAAAAAGAGTAAAGAGTTTAGCCACTATGGTGGTTTTGTGTAATATCCAAATCTTCTGGACCTCAGGTCTGATCAGATTTGGATGTTACATAGAGATTTAGGATTTTTAAAGATTTGAGGTTTTTTTGTAATTTAAGAGAAATTTGAGTTTTTTTATAAATATAATAATTTTATTATTTTTTAAAAAAAGTTTAAAATTACTAGAATGTGATAAGTATCACTTAACGTTGAAAAATAAATTCAAAATTACTAAAGTGAAAAGGTCGCCTAGATGGGAAAGTCTCCATCTTTTAACCATGAGAATGTATTCTATGCCATGATGGACATAAAATTAAAAGGATTCTCTTGGTATAATTCTATCTAACGTTGATGGGATGATGTTTAGAGCTCTTGGTAAATGTCCTATGTATTCTGGAGGCAAGCATAGCTGCCATGGCTACATTTCGGAATGAAACAGGTGTTCTTACTCTACTTGTCAATCTGAACGTCCTAAAGGGAAATGGCAAGTCCTAGATGAAACAAATAATGAATTTCTTAACAAGGTATTCCACTAAGATCCATACTAAATTATTTAGATTGTAACATTTCACTGACTCAAACTTCTACAGTGGTTTAGATAAAAAAAATGGAAAACCTGTTTTCATCATGCCTCCACCATCAGCTTCTTCGAGTCAAGCTCTTAATGCTCAATCTCAAATGTTGAAAACTTGGCAGATTTAAAAGTTGCCATGGTTGGATTGCCTCAGGAGTCCATGGTAATATCTTTTGCACTATATTTTAAATTATACTGAAGTGTTATTCAAATTTTTTTCCACGATAAACATGAATATATTGTAAAGATCTTGGATTGAAGAAAGGGTTTAGAAGAAGGAATAGAGGAATTTAAGATTGAGAGAAAAGAAATTCTTTATTGAAATTTTGCATAATGAGATCATCCCATTTACATGTTTTATTTCTTTACATTGTACTGGGAATCTAACCATTTCTCAGCTCATGTACTATAGCTAACAAATTCTAATTTCCTTATGTAGGTGAATCGGGCTGCTCTAATTGGGCTTGTTCCTTTAATTCCATCCAGATGGGTAATGTATTTACATGTTCATCACGTGCTTGTAGATTCCAATTTCCCAATTTTGTGTCTTTAATCCCTAACCCTTGAGTAACCATCCCCAATTTCCTTTCTTCGCAGCTGCTGTCTTCCCCTCCTACTGTGACAGTACCCTCTCCTTGAAATGATCTTTGACCCCAAGGATCAAACTATGGGAATTGGGACTTCATAACAGTGTAGTCCTCCCAAGTTTCATGATCAGAGTCGAGATTGACCCAACGAATCAATAGCCGAGTCACAGGCTTGTTGTCTTGATTCACAATCCGTTTGCCCACAATTTTCAATGGAGCAATCTGAAACTGATCATCTTCTTTCATCGCAGGTGGGCTCGTTGCAACAACAACCGAATCTCCCAGTTATTTCTTTAAAAGGCTCACATGAAACACTGGATGCAAATGCGAATCCTTCGGTAAGTTGAGGCGATACGCCACTTCCCCAATCTTCTGCAATTATTTATATGGGCCATAAAATCTTGCTGCTAACTTAATATTCTTGCACAGGGAAAATAAATTACGTCGATATGGCTATAGTTTCAGGTACACCTCTTCCCTAACTTCAAACTGTCGTTCTGAGCGATTCTTATCTACTTGCTGCTTCATCCTATTTTGAGCCTGTTCTAGTTGATCTTTTAATATTTTTTTTCTTCGATTGTGAAGCATCTCATTAACACTTTGTACTTGAGAGATTGTCTTCCAAACCATAGTTGGGGGATTATGGCCATACAGTGTCTGAAAATGGATTAATTTCAATGCTATGTGGTAATTTGTGTTATACCACCACTCAACATGAGATAACCATTTGGCCCACTGTTTAGGACTTAGGAAGCAAAGCCCCCTTAGGTACTGCTCAAGACACTGGTTTACCCTCTTTGTCTACCCATCTGTTTGAGGGTGATAATATGTGCTAAACAGTGTCTTAGTGCCTAATTGTCGCATTAGTTCCTTCTAAAAGGTGCTGGTGAATTTCTTATCTCGATAAAAAAAAAATTGGCCATTTTAGGATGGCCATGAAGTTTATACATATGATCTAAATACAACTTTGCCACTTCAGTTGCTGAATAGGGATGAGATAAGGGTAAGAAATGATTGTACTTAGTGACTTTATCAATTATCACTAAGATGCAGTTTTTTTTTAAATGACATAGGCAACCCTCCTATGAAATCCATTGTGATCACCTCCCAGGTTGAGTAGGAACATGAAGAGGTTGCAAGAGACCAGGTGTGGCTACATGTTCAATCTTAGTCTACTGGCACGCATCACTGTGTTGTACATACGTAGTTACCATGTTCTTTAGTTTTGGCCAATAGAAGTAGGATTTAATTCTATTGTAAGTTGCCTGAATTCCAAAATGCCCTCTTGAGGAGAATCATGGAGAGTTGTCAATATTTGCAGTCTTAAACTCCCAGCAGCTCCAATTTAGACTCTAGTATTGTATCTCAAAATTCCTTTGCTATACTTCTATTTCTCATCAACATTAGGATTAACTGATAATGTTGAAATCTGAGCAGTAGCTAAATCGTCATTCTTGTAACTATCTTCAATATCCTGTAATTGGCCTCAATATCCTGCACCCAACTAGGAATGATATTTATAACCCTCATAGCTTGCAAGCGACCTTGATCTTCCCACTGCCTAGAAAGAGCATCAGCTACACATTACATTTTCCTTTTCTATACTGAATTGTATAATCCAGGCCCAGAAGTTTTTTCAAACTCCTCTTTTGAATAGTTGTAGTCAATTTTTACTCAAACAAGTACTTTAAGGGCTCATGATTTGTTTTTATGACAAATGGCCTCCCTTCCAAATAATGCCTCCACTTAGAAACGGCGAGCAGAATACCTAGATACTCCCTTTCATAGATTGACAGATCAATAGTTTTAGGACTCGAAGCTTTTCTTAAAAAAGAAATTGGTCTCCCTTCTTGGGAAATGACAACATCTATGCCCTTCGAACTAGCATCAGACTCGATAAAAACATTTAGAGAAATTAGGTAAGGCTAAGACAGGAGCACAACACATAGCATGTTTAAGAGTTTCAAATACTGCCTTGGCTTCAGAAGTCCACACGAAATCTTCTTCTTCAACATTTATGTTAATGGTTTACAAATGACACCGTAATTTTTTATAAACCTCCTGTAGTAACCAGTTAAACCCCAAAAACCCTCTTAAGGATTTAAGACTTTAGAGGGATTTGTTACAACCCTGGTAGCTGAAATCACATGTCCCAAATACTCTACTTGTTGTTGACCAAAAAAACATACGGACATCTTGGCAAATAATTGATTCTTCTTCAAGATCTCTAAAACAACTTGTAAATGCTTAATGTGGTCTTCCATAGAATGACTATATACCAAAATGTCATCAAAGAAAACTAGCACAAATTTTCTCAAATGAGGGTTAAACAGATCATTCATAAGGGATTGAAAAATAGCAGGAGCATTAGTAAGGCCAAAGGGCATTACATTGATTTCAAAATAGCCTTGACGTGTTCTGAAAGCTGTCTTATAGATGTCCTCCTCTCTAATTCTAATAGGCCAATATCCAGATCTGAGGTCCAATTTAGAAAATTACATAGCCCCATTTAGTTCATCTAACAAATCCTCCACCATTGGAATAGGAAATTTATTTTTAACTGTCATACTATTAAGCTGCCTGTAATCAACACAAAACCTCCAAGTGTCATCCTTTTTCTTGATTAATAGACAAGGGGAAGCAGAGAGACACTTGCTAGGTTGAATTATAGAGGAAGAAAACATTTTAGCCACTTGTTTCTCTACTTCAGCTTTTTTATGATGTGCAAATCTATAGGGTCTCAAATTGACAGGGCTTGAACCTGATTTCAAAAGTATGGCTTGATCTTGATTTCTAGTAGGAGGCAAACCTTCAGGTTCAGCAAAGACACTACTATTTTCTTATAATAATAGGGTTAACTCCTTAGGAACAGTTGACTGAATAGTGTCCAAAGTCATCATTAAAATATGTCCCCACAAATCAGGATCCTTAGCAGTCAACTTCATAAAAGTAGCACCCGAAAATTACTGTAAATGTGCAGAAGGTTGTTGACACTGAATTAAAACTTGCTTACCCTCCTTTTGGAAGCTCATAGTCATATTATTAAAGTCCATCAGAATAGGACTAAAAAGCTTCAACCAATCAACCCCTAACACCATATCACTACCCCCTAATTGAAGTACTCTAAAATCATGAATGAAGGAATGTCTTTGAATGAGCCAATTCACATTATGGCACCTTGTAGAGCTAAATATCTTTTCAACATTAGCAACAATGATAGCAAAAGGATTTGTAGCCACGAGTCTCCTCTACTTGTGCCCATTGAGGAGTTAGAAAACTATGAGTGCTGCCACTGTCAATGAGAATATTTACTGGCTTCCCCTGCATGCTTCCTTGAACTCTCAGGGTATTATGGCCAATCGAGTCAGTAATTGAATTTATTAAAATTTCCAAATTCTTTTCCTATGATATCATTTGTTGTTCTGTTTCCTCTAAATTCCCTTCCACTGCCTCCTCCACAGCAACTTCAGCCATCACATTAAATTGTTTTTGCTTACATTGATGCCCTAGAACAAATTTGTCCCCACACTTGAAACAAAGATTGTTTTGTCTTCTATAATCCACAAGAGTAGATCTCTTCTAGGAATGTACATTTTTAGTCTACTATGATGAATTTGATTGAGCTTTAGGAACTGAGGACTGCACTAGGTAAGAAGGATATTTAAGATTCATCTTCTGTCTCCTTGTCTCATAGTCAACTGAAAGTTCATATAATTTAGCTTGCCTACTTGCCTCCGTTAATAACCTAGGACTCAATGCCTTTACTTTGTGTTTTAAATCCTCCCTCAGACCACTTACAAACAGAGAAACAAAAAAGTCTTCAGTTAAATTAGAATTTTGAAGAAGCATATGAGGTTGAAGTTCCTCAAAACATTCCTGGTACTCCTCAACTGTACCTTTTTGTGTCGATTTAGTGAATTCTTTCACAATATCCAAAAAATATTTCAGTAAACCTGTGGAATAGATCAGCCTCAAATTCATGCCAATGAACTCTATGCTTCTGCATAATATATGCATCAAACCAAGATTCTGCTCTTCCTACCAAATGCATTGCGGCTACTTCAACTTTCTGATATTCAGGAACAACATAAAGGGAAAAAAAATTCTGGCATTTTTGTAACCAACCCCTTGGATTATTACCCTCAAAAGATGGTAACTCTAACTTCAGTATAGGATCGAGGACCCTGGGTTTAAGACAAAACCCCTCCTATCCTCCTTATTACTGCCCAGATTAGCTCTTAAGTTGCTATTTTCCCCCAATTGGTTATCACATCTAACATATTGCTGGTTGGTTTGTATCTCCTCTAGTCTAGATCTAAGGATACCAGGCTCGTTTGTTTTATATGAAAACTTACTTTTATCATTCGCAACTTTCATAGTCATAGTTTTTTGCTAGGCTTAGGAAGAGTAGGAGTAGTCATCTGGTCATCCTCTGAACTTGTTGGTTCATGCTCATCTTCTCTCCCAATTAGACTTCTTAGAATCTATTCCACGTATCCTTGATTTGTATTCATCCTTTTTTCAAGGTGGTTATCCTTTCATTCTCTACTTCCCACCATTTTGGAGGATTTGAGTCGTCTGTTGCTTAATTCACCAAGAAAGACAAGTCCTCGATCTGCTTTTGAATAACAGATAAGTTAGATGTTTATGTCAGCGCTTGATTGCTTTTTGGCATGCCCAGATATCGAAGTGCCAGGAAGAATGGCTCTTGATACCAATTTGTAATGATCTTGGATTGAAGAAAGGGTTTAGATGAAGGAAGAGAGGAATTTGAGATTGAGAGAGAAGAAATTCTTCATTGAAATTTTGCATAATGAGATCATCCTATTTACATGTTTTATTTCTTTACATTGTACTGGGAATCTAACCATTTGCCATCTCATGTACTATAGCTAACAACTTCTAACTTCATGATGCAGGTGAATTGGGCTACTCTAATTGGGCATGTTCCATTAATTCCATCCAGATGGTAATGTCTTCACATGCTCATCACTTGCTTGCAGATTCCGATTTCCCAATTTTGTGTCTTTAATCCCTAACCCTTTACTAACAATCCCCAATTTCCTTTCTTTGCAGTGGCTTTCTTCTCCTCCTACTATGACATATATGTTTATTTCTTGAGGATTTTTTCTTTTCAGGAAGAGTGGACGGACAAAATCAAGGAAGCAGGTGGTATAGTTCATGGCAAGATCAAGAATGATATGTGATTCCCATACTGTATTTTGATATAAATGCTTTTGTTGATTGGGATGTACTAAAGAAGTAATGTTACATATACAAATTGCTTGGTTTTTAGTAGGAAAATCAATGGTGTAAAAATTAATGGTTATTTAGAAGATGCTGAAATGTAAGGAAAAGAAAGAAAAGAGGAAAATGGGGGAGGGATTTATTAAAAAAACATTTTATAAAGTCAAAAGTATGGTCAATGTGGTTGTAAAATACCACATCAGTATTCTGTTATTTTCAATAACGGTTTTTAACGACAAGTGATGGATTTATAATGTATCGATAACGTTAGTGATTGGGTTGTTATAAATCGATAACATTAGTAATCAATTTATTCGTTTTGAAACTGCAATGAGGAAAAAGAAAACTTAATTGTTTGTAAGAAGTTTAGCATACTTTTTTGTGATTTCTGAAAAGAGTTATAGGCTCGATGGGTAACTCCGAGAGTGACTCGGATTGTTTGTATAAAACATGGGTCTTTCTGGTTTCTTCGAAAGAAGAATCTTTTCAGTGTTTGTTGGTTCAAAGGAATTAGTTTGTTGTGTGGATTAAAATCCATAATTATGGTCACATATTTTTTAATGTATATTGTTATCATAAAATATAAAAAAAGTATGTGCCAAATTATTTATAAATTCATAAGGTATTAGAAGTATCATAGAAATAAAAGTGTAGTTATTATTAAAGTTGTATTTATAATTTGATGAGAGATAATGTTATAACTACATATAATAACTTATTCTTAAATAAACTATAAAATAGGATTATGGTCCTCAAGAAAAATATCATCTTGTATTTGCTCTTGTCTCCTTCATAGAGTTTATACTTAAATAAATTCTATCTTTTTGGAAAATCTCAATACTCAAGGATTTCATTTTGAAACTAAGGAAATGAAAAAGTTTACTTATGCTTCATAAATAAATAAAGAGTTTAATGTATACTCAGGTTTGTATGCATTCAGACATAGCGTATAATTTTAGAATATTAAGCATGTATTTAAGCAATTTGGGTATGGATCATTGAATAGATGTCAAATTAATTCATACAATACATTTTATAACAAAAAATATTACATGCTCACATATTAAAGGTATAATAAGTAAGTGACCATCAAATTTATGGACTCCGACTTATTGGAACATGGATGCAAAATTTTGTCACTTGAACTGGTAATTATGGATTGATAAGAAACACTATTTGAGTTATTTTGTGACAACAAAAGTTGTAATACTTTATTCCATATATAATAGAAACACCTTAAAGTCTGAGTACATAAACAATATGTTTGTAACACCCTAAATTTTGGACTGTTAATTATGGATTGATAAGAAGACCACCTAAGTTATTTTGTACCAACAAAGTTGCAATCCTTTATTCCATAATAGAAACACCTTAAAGTCTGAGTACATAAACAATATGAACTGCTAATTATGGATTGATAAGAAATACCACTTGAGTTATTTTGTGACAACAAATTTGTAATCCTTTATTCAATATAAAATAGAAAAACCTTAAAGTCTGAGTACATAAACAATATGTTTGTAACATCCTAAATTATGAGCTAGTAGTTTCATGTTTACCCGAGAGGTCTGTAGACATTGTTGGGCTGAGTTGAGCTTAATTTGGTTGGATTTAGGGCCCAATTAGCCATAAAAGGGGGATTAAATATGAGACAAATTATGAAGGACCAAATGAGTAATTAGACCATTGATGGAAATTGAAGATAAAATTTAGGGATTTATACCATTTTAGATGTGGGTTTGTACCAAAATAATGAGCCTTTGTATAACGTTCTAAATGAGAAAACTAGTAAGTTAGCAGTTAGTGAGAGGATAACCTCACTTTAGTGAGTCTATGCTAGGGTATAGTCAGGTTACCTTAGTTGCCTAGTGGGGCATTATCAGTGCGTGAGGCACTTCAGGGGTTCACTAAGGTGTGCCCGAACACTCACGAGGAGTGGGTTAGCGATTTCAGTGTTATGTTGTTTTCAGGCCTTAGACATACATGTGCAGTTATGTCAGTTCAGTAAATCGGATATGTTAAAGCTTGGCTTGAAGGCTATGTGAAATCGAGCCAATACTTCAGTTAAGCATGAATTGTATCAATGTTATGTGACACTTGGTTTGCCTCATTGATCAACCTGATGGTTATGTGAAGACTAAAAGATAATTCATTATGTTTTGTGGGAATTGTACCGATGCTATATGACACCATTTTCCCTCATTAACTAGTGTCTGATGGCTACGTGATACCATATACTAGTCAGGTTTATATTCAGATAATGCACAGTATGTTCATGTTTGCATTTAGATAGTGTACATCTGCACAACCATTAGGGTTAGAGACCTTTTAGAGGAGTAATCATGGCAAGGCCTTTAGCAGTAAAGCCTTAATTAGGTAGCACTTGATCTAGGTTATGCATATAACTACTGCTTAGTACCATGTCTTCAACATGCTTATATTTATGAAATTTTTATGCTACTCTAGATTAGTGATTATACAATTGGGCTTTGTAAACTCAGCCTTCAGATGTTTTTCTATTGGTAGGTCAGTAGCTTGAGTCGTTCGTGGAGCACTGTCGCAACAGGACTTCCACATCTCCGACAGAGTATTGTACTATAGCTTTAGTGGGCATATGGATTCTTAGAACCTTACTCATATATTTAGTATATTAAACTCAGAGTATGTATTATTTTGGTTTTAAATTATATGTCACAAAGCTTCAATTTGTAAAATGTTTTATATTTGTTATTCATATCTTATATATAATATCATTCAGTGTGTTTTAAAAGGGAAATGAACAAATTTTGAAAATCAAGGGTTACCTCGGTAGATTGGTATAGCACTTGAGGCCTAATCGGGTTTTTGGTGTTACATTTAGTGTTATCAGAGCCTTGGGTTGAGTCGGTCCTAGAACCTAGTGGTTGGTTTTATTAAGGTGTCAGTGAATACATACCTGTAGGTTCTTGAAGTACTTGTACAAGTATGGAATCCTAATGGTGTTTCCCTTCTTAATCTATGTTGTAGAGTGTTGTGATGACCAATAATTTTGAGGATAGGATGGAGAGTCTAGCCTCTTATCCAGATAGAGTCAGTGAGAAGTTGCCTAGGGTAGAGGATTAGGGGGTTTCGTTAGGCACATGAGTCGTTGAAGTGACCTTCTTCAGAAGTTTGACCTCCACTCTCAAGGAGATAGTGGATGTCATTCCCAAAGCGCAGACTGCTCAACCAGCCAGCCAAAATACGTTAGTACTGATAGAGACCCCATTAGAGATATTAATGAGGTATAAGACATTTGACTTCTATGGTTCAAGAAATGATGATCTAATTTCGACTGATTAGTGGTTGAGGGAGACCATGAGGACCTTGAGGCAGCTTTATCTTAAGCCATAGAGCAAGTTAGAGTGCATCACTGCTTTGCTTAAGGGTGATGCTATCGATTGGTGGGATACTATAGAGATGGTTCTACAGCCAGATGTGCCTACATGGTATCAGTTCTTAGATGAGTTTATAGGAAAGTATTTCGAAGAGGCGTACCTAGATGGGTTAGGGATGCATTTCTCTCATCTAGTTCAGGGAGATCCCTCAACGTATGAGTACAAGAGAGATTTTCTCCAGTTTAGCCATTACGCTTTAGAGTTATTTGCGACTGAGTCCTTAAGGTGCAAGAGGTTCTTTGAGGGACTTTATCTAGATATCCTTGAGTTGTTGGTAGAAGACTCGCCTAGGGTGTTTTCAGAGTTGATACGGTAGACTAAGGACATGGAGAGGGTGAAAACTATGAGGAACAGTTTGTTGGGAGAATCAGGTAGCCCAAGTATGAGGACTTATGTGCCAATATATATATCTCAATCAGAGAGGACCAAAGGTCCACGAGATTAGAGAAGAGTGATGTCATTTTTGTCACTCTAATTGAGTCAGAGTTTAAGCATAGGGTCTCGTAAGAGACCGCTAGTTTCACCATCTGTGGTGAGTTATGGAGGCTCTGATAAAGTTTTGAGGTATCCAAAGTGCGAGCATTGTGGAAAAAATTATCGAGGAATGTGCTTCAAGTTTTCTAGGAAATGCTATAGATGTGGATCATTGGCTCATATAGTAAGGGATTGTCCTAGTTTGGATGGTGTTGATTTTATGCTCATGAAGGAGAGTAGAAGAGCGGATCAACATGTTCCATCTTTGATGGTGTGTGATCTCATTTGTCAGATTTTAGTGAGACAGATCAGGATGTCGATGACGCAAATGAGATGCCATATATGTTTTCAGACGTCTCAACTTTTCATATTGCTTCAGTAAGCATGAGTGCATACATTCTTTTGTGGTGTCGAGAGAACTAAGTAAAAAAAAGTGTTCGTGTAGAGGATCTTAGCGTAGGTCCCAAGTGTCGAGCAAGTATAACTTAACATAATAGATAAGTTTACCTTTGATGTTCTTCGAGGGTTCGTGTGATCGACCTGTAGAGAATTTTGAAATCACAAGTTTTGCATTGGAGATGAAGATTTCCACAAGAGTGTTAAGAACATCAAAGTCGCCCTAATTAATATGTTAATCACCATGTTGATAGGAACATCAGGATATACCTCAATTAGTGCCATAGCACTTTAGATGCTAACTGGGCCCAAATACCCTAAGTACTCTCGAGGAGTAAGTTAACATGATGTATGTTCGATGTAGCAGTTCTGGAATTATACCCTAAGTAATAAAGGTACTATAGGTTAGATAGTGAGTTACGAGTATAGAGGTACATAGATCCCTCTGATTTCATTAGTAAGCACTTGTCCACGAACAGTAAGAGAATCAATTAAGTGAGCCAAGCCTCGTCAGTAGTGTCTTCATGTGGTATATGAGCACGAGTTATATACAACACATAACAATAGTCAACTTTATGTAGTACCATGGATTTTTGTACTTTAGACTAAATGAGATCAAGTACGTTAAGCTATGCTTAATTAGCATTAGCTGCCATCGAATAGCTCACTGGTGGTAAACGATAGCGAGAATAAGATGTAGAGTCTCATAACCCTTCAGTTAGAATACGATTACGAAAGGTCTCCGTTTGTGAGGCGTGTTCTCCTGGAAATCCAGAGGTTGTTAGTTCCACTCGGCAAGTGGTCGATTTTCAGTTATGAGTACCCTAGAGGTGTAAGCCGGTAAGTGGCGTCTGTGTAAGTGTAAGGAAAGAAAGAAATATTCTAGTAACACATATGATATTGAATCAAAGTTGTGTAGCATAAGCATAGAGATCGACATTAGTCAGGAATTGTCGTCATACCTTCAGTAGTCAGTATCGAGATAG